GCGTGCCTGGCATGCCTGAGCTCCTAGGCAAGCTCATAGCGGAGAGCAAGCTTCCCGTCCATCGCCGTCCGGGGAAGGCAGCGACGCGCCTGCCTTTCCTGGAGCCGCTTCCAAGGTGTTCGGGAAACGTCAGTATCGCACTGAGGAATACTTTTAGTTGTTTGTCTCCCAGCTGCTCCTAATAGCCCGTGCAAATTATGCAAACATTTGCACAGCCTGTTGGAGTGAGAGTTCCCAGGCTCTTCTCCTGTGCCCTGTGGATTTTACTGTAGCAAGTTTATGGTGACGGGTCCTGGTTTTGGGGTGTCTGAGCACGGGTAAGAAAATCCATAATCCATGGAGCATATGTGCTAATGAAAGCCTTTCTCTTCACAGGGTTTTGCTGTGGTATATTTTGTCATTATGAGATGTCGTCTACCAGTGCTTCATTTGTGCAAATTAGATTTGATGACTTGCAGTTTTTTGAGAACTGCGGTGGAGGGAGTTTCGGGAGTGTCTACCGAGCCCGATGGATTTCTCAGGACAAGGAGGTGGCTGTAAAGAAGCTGCTCAAAATAGAAAAAGAGGTAAGAGTTTGCTTTTTCATTCACTTAGCTGCAGAAACAAGGACAGAAATTCCTTCCTGGTGTCTTCTGTCTGCTATTTAATTGAAGTAAACTACCTTGGGCTTTTTATTTGTTTAATTACAAAACCCTTAAACTGAGTGATGTTACAATAAAGACATACTGAGGGGGCCGCAACCCAGGGTGTCTCTGATTTAAAACTTTATTGTTTTACTGTTTACTGTCCTGCCACACTTTTCTTGTCTAGCAGCTCCTCTCTGCCCTGGCGCTCAGGAGGAGGAGAGCCAGCTGCACCTGTGGAGCTAGTAATTTTCCCTTTGATACTTCTGGGTGTGTTGCTAGATAGGAAGAGGTAGTGTTCACTGTCTTTGCCTGCTTCTATCTTCTTCTTTTTGCATCTGGTGTCTTTTAAGTGTGGTGGTTCACATCTATATGTGCACTATAGTCTTAGCATGTATTGCTTGCTGTTGTCTCCTTCCCTGCTACAGGTTTTGATCTGGGGCTCCACTAGCTCTGGGTCAGCCATAGCCACACTTCAGCTTGGTCTCATCTAGCAGTGAGGTTTAAGTCTAACCGTTCTTCCCTTGTGGTGTCCTGTGCACCTGGAAAGATGGACAGGTCCTTGGCAATCCTGTGGGAAAAGGCAGAATTGACTTACTGCACGCTTACCAGCTAAGGTTGGTTTGAGTGTTGCTTTTATTTTTAAAAAAGATTTTTAGGCTAGCCTAAAAATCCTCTTGACCCTCAGCTACGTACAGTCTTGGCAGAGACACAGTGTACATGGTCCTCACAGCACTCGAGTTTGCCCGCTGGTCACCACTGCTGGGGTAGCTGCGAGGAGACACCAGTGTAGCGGTGAACAGTGCAGTTACTGGACTGCACTGACTATATCTAACTTGTGTACAATACTCTCAAAAGTATTTTAGGAAGGCAGTTATAAACTGGAGGACAGCAGAGCAGCGCTAGGGATAATATACATAATCAGACACCCAAGTTTATCCACTGCTGCCGTAACCAAGTTAGCATGATTATGTCATGCTTAGCGATGTGATGAGCATGTTGGATCGTGGTTAAGGAAGTTGCTGTGGAAGAATCTCATGATTTTTTACAGGATGGTTGGAGATTTATGCCTTCTGTCCAATGTCAGATTATAATGTTCTCTGTATTTCTTCTATTTGTTCATATCAAAAGATACAGAAAGACAAGTAAAATTGGTGCTATGCAGTGTCAGTAGTGCACTCTTTAGAAAATCAACTGGCTGGCGGATCTCAGTAGTGGCCAGTGAAGTATCTTTATTGAATAGGTGTGTTTCTGGTGGGATTACACAGGAGCATGTGCTAGACCTGCTGCTAGCTACTAGCATTTTTGAAAGAAAACTTAAAAACTACTACTACATCTTGTAATGGAATAAACCTTAAAATGGGAAATGGTGGAGAAAGTAGGACAGTCATATGTATTGCTTGACACAGTTGGACTATTTAACAAATTTATTTATTTTTTTTTTAACAGCTAAGTGCAGTGTTCAGCTTGTAGTAACAAGAAACACAGGTTGCACATTAGGAAAAAGAGACTGTATGCTGGAAAGAATTCAGTATAATTTAAGGGTTTATTTAGGGATTAATGAAGACTTGCAGCTCATTAACAGCTCATATCATGGTACTGTTAGGCAAATTAGGTTACTGCCCTTGCATATCTAGGTGAGGATCAAGGCATCTGTAAGAACCAGGGGTGCTTTACCTTGGCATGTGACACTGGGGAAATGGGTGTTAGGCAGTAGGTGCAGACCTGGTTCTGTTGTGTTTAAAAGAATGTAAACGAACTGGAGGGGCAGCCCAAGGGGGACTGCAAAACAGAGTGCAGTGTAGGGGGGTTGTGGGGGTTAGTGTGTTAGAATGGGGCGATGGACATCATCCATCAGGATGAGCTGACAGAAGGGGAGCAAGTGCCTTCCAGCACAACAGTGTATTTTCCTCCAGACTGGTCATTTTCTGCTTAAACTAAAAAGGTGGGTTATAGTTGGGAGCAGCTTGCTGTGGTCACCTTCTCAAGAAACTTTTCTGGGAAGGCAGCAGAGAGGCAAGTGGTGATGCCTTAAGTAAGCCTAGCAAGTTTTGCCAGAACTTGTCTGTCAAAACTGTAAAGAATTAAAAAATAAGAGCTTGTTTACAAAAATTGCATTTTCATATGGAGAAAATGCTAGGCTCGTTTAATCTGGTGCAGAAAGTTATTACAAGAACTAATGGCTGGGATCTGAAGCCAGGCAAATTAGAATGGGAAATAAAGCACAAATTATAAGGAGTGAGGATGAGTAACACTTGGAGCAGACTACAAACAGAAGGAACAGAGATGGAGAATCCTTTCCATCTCTTCATGTCTTCACATTGAGATGTTTTGGGTTTTTTCGGCAATTGTTATTGTTAAGTTGTTGAGCTCAACACAAGAGCAGCTTGCTGAAATATAGTGGCCTGTGATGTACCAGAGGCTGGTGTCTGTGGCCTAAAGGTCTCTTCTGATCCTAATGGCTTTCAGCCTTTACATATGTAGTATGTTTATCTGTAGTGATGACAATAATAAAGATCTGTGACTGAATTGTCCTGAAAGTCATGGTAAGTCAATGGCTTTTCTGATAGCAATAGAAAAATAACTTGCCGTTAACTGTATGTGTCTGTGTTTAGTAGATATTTGAATGGTTTGCATTTAGTCCAGGAAAGTAATTATTACTTTTTCTGGTTTATTTGAAAGGAAGTGTCATTTTAACTCCATGACTGGTTGTCTTGTATTTCTGTTAACTACTGCCAATAATCCATAACAACTGATTAAAAGAAAAACAGAGGAGAGTGGGGAAAAGCTTGCTCAGAGGAATTTCATGCTAGCCGAGTCCAAAGGCACGAGCCAAGTCAATAGAACTGTGGTATCATTCTGCAAATATGTTGTATCTGTGTTTCGTTTTATTAAACAAGCCAATCAAAACCAGCAAAGATCTTGAGGGTTCTTTATTAGCCAAGTGGCTAACAAGTTCTAACATGTTAAACAAAGCAATTTTTGTTCTGGTATGGAGCACCATATCATGCTGAAATATGTGCTCAGAAAAACTTATAAATGCTTGGAAGAGTGTTGTGCAGACAGACTTCTTCAAAACTCTTTAAAATTTGAGAAATGGGAAGACCTCTGCAAGGCATTAAATTTTTATAGACAGGCAGTAAAATGTGACTGTACAGGAAGAGGTGTGTGTTTATGTGAATAAAATACAGCTAGATACAGCTAAATAGATGTGCAGAGAAATAAATAGATAAATAGAGAAACAAATAAATAAATATCAGATCTGAAACTCTGGACAAGACTTCTGATTAAAAAAAGAGAAAAAAAAGAGTGTCTTGAGTGATTAAATAACAGGAAAACCAAAATTAAATTGACATTTTACTATCTAATCCAAGCCCTTCTGGCAGTTTGAGTTTTTAAGCAAGGAACAGGAGTCCCTTTGTGAATTGTTTTATTGAAAAATTAAACTACTGGTATGATGTTTATGATGCCTGTGGTGGGAGTAGAAAGGTCTCCTGTAGTAGGATGAGTGCTTTCTCCTGTTGCCCTAAGTGATAATTCCGTGCATTCATTGAAGAAAATTGCGCACCTACTACTCAGGAAGTTATTTAGTGTTTTTGCAAACAATTTACATGAATTATATAAGCCCATGATTTGGCTTCCACTGAAATGGATGGGAGAGATTGGGCCCAAAGGCCTTATTCTGCAAATTGCTAGCAGTTCTTTTGACTCCATTATCTTGAGCAGATAACTGCTGGAGTGAAATGTTACAAACGTTGTTTTATGCCTTGTCACGTTAGCTTTTCACTGAATAGCACTCACCTCCTTCAATTGTCTGTACACCTCTGAAGTTCACCCGTTATTTGTCGCTGCTTTTGAAGGCTGTGCTTTTGGTGGCTGTGTTTTGGCAGTTGGCATCTGATCTGGAGTGTGGTTCTTCACTGGAAGATTTACTATTGCCGGGATTTTACCAGAAATTTGAATTTAACTTTAATGTCACTGCCCTTTGGAGGTACTCCATGATCTATGAACAGCCCCTGTGCTATTGATGGACAGCAGTATTGCATCTGATGTCCTTGCTTCAGCTGTTATAACCGTGACACTTAGGTGCAAGATTGTTTGGTTTCATGCAGTACAGCTGTCCCTGGATTCCTTCAAAATGCTGGAGGTGATCTGTGCAAGCTGCAGGAGAGTGCTGGGGAAAAGAAACCCCAATAAAATGTAACTGTAATCTTACTGGGAAATTCTTCTGGTGAACCGACACAACTAACCTGTAGATAAAAGATGTTAAATTGAGTAGGATTAACTGTGCATGCTTTGTTCAGTCATGTCTGTGCAATGCATTTGAGTTTTATGAGGCTTATAAATAAAAACATGTTTTTACTAGTTTTGATGCTCTATTGCTGAAAGTCTGACTACTGTGGAAATTAATTTTATATTGCCGGGTTTTCTTGTATGCAATACATGTGCCGTAAGCTTTAGGCGATCTTTTAATGTTTCATAAAAGTTTTCATATGGAATATAATGTAACTTGTTCACTTGCTTGATTTTATGATCCACTTCTGAAAGGGACTGTCCAGAAAAACATGGATTGCACCCGTGCCTTCCGAAGGGGATGAGTTAAGTATAACCACATGCATGTCACTGGACTTACCTCACTCATGCTTGTAGTCCTAAAAGAGAGCATGTGGTATTTTTAATGTGTGTCATGAGAGTAAGGACTGGGAATGACTTTCAAGAGTAACAAGAGAAAAACAACAGAGTGAAATAGAGCAAATCAAACCAAACCAAACTGAAATTGATACTTAGCTCTGACAGGACTGAAAATAGTAGATGTTCTTTTTGCAGTTCATAGCTGCTATGGGTGCTTGGCTGGTATGCCAGCCTTGAATGACTCTCCACACTGGAACCTGGCTGTAATGAAGGTTAGTTTTGATGCTTTTTTATTACTTTATTAGCTCTTT